TACTTTAGCCCCACTGTTTACTGATAATGAGAACACAACCAAGAAAGGTTAAGCGATTTGTCCAAATTCCCTAAAGCAGTATTCCCCAGCATTTTACGATGTCAAAAGAGATGATACAATTCTGTAACACTGAATCGAATAAGCTACCAAATAAATTCATCAAGTTGATCAGGTAAGTTAAAAGTGTGATTTTGGCAAAGTTGGGGGCAGGGCTCATCTCCTTTTTCTATTAAAGGAGAACACCTTCAGATTTCTATCTTTAACATTCTTTGCACCTCACACAAAAGAACACACACATTTTAAAAATCTATCACTAGAAGTGAAAAAAAAATCATTCAGTGCATCTCAAAACTCAAGTTTTCGCCTTTGGCGATAAATACTGAATTTTTTTTTTGCTGAGGGTTCATACTACCTGTATGGTAAAATCATACATGTCAAAGCTTACTACATTTTATTACATAATACAATGTAAGTGTCTGACTCAACAGAAACACCCGAAAGTGTTGATTCAAGAATATGTGGGAGCACATGTATTTGTTCTTACGAATATATCAAAGTGGCCATGATGGAATTCTGAGTGTTCAGTGATCAGTAAGACAGATAAGCCCGCACTCACTAAAGCACAACACACAGATCAGTTTAGTGGGAGTGTGTGCTTATATCCCTTCTCTCAGTCACTGCTTCCTTCCCATTCTATGGAAGTGAAACTTACATTGAAGCCAATAGATTAAAACAAAAAAACAAAACCCTTGAGCTTATTATATCTCCTAAGCCATTTCACTCGTGTTTATTCTGGCTCAGGTCACGTGGCACACACAGCTGAATTACTTTCCCACTTCATACGAAAGACTGGCACAGAGACTTAGGTTGATTAAAGAACAAAACCCAGGGAAATACTTCCCTGAGTTCCTGTTATTTAGATGGCAGAAATAGTCTTGTTTCTACACGACTACATATTTAGATGACCCCGTTTTATACACAGGCTATTTTCATAAGTGGAAAATCAGATCAAATATGGATCAGAGTGGAAGAGATTATTGATAAAGAGAAAAAACAGAGTAGCAGCAAAGGAATCTCTACCTCTTTCTGAAGCTGAATTTTCTTTTTCCAAAGCCAGGAATTCTACTTGTAACATGCCTACCTCATTCTTAAACCTTTGCATATCTTGGTGTAAATCTTTTAGC